GGAACCTGCCAGGAAGCTGCCATCCAAGCTGCGCAGGAGGCTCGCACTGCTCACCGTGATGAGCTGAAGAAAAAGGACCCGGTAGATTGGGTTGAGAAGCTGGTATTTAGAGAGAGTGAGAGGAGTGCAAATACTCGGTGGTATCATCTTCGTCTTCCTTCATCATGATCATTGCCACCACCACCGTATTCATCATTCTCCTCATCACTTTTGTGTATCATCATCGTTACGGCCACCACCACCACCACCACCACCACCACCACCCCCATTATCAGCATCAGCATCAACATCATCGTCAGTGACTCACGGATGAACGGTTGCACATCGCCCATCTCCTCCAGAGCCATACGTCCATTTCTGCTCTTCGTGTGCTCGCTGCTGTCGGGGATACCTGCTAGGGTTAGGGATTACTTGGGTCTAGATTCGGCGCGGTTGATCCTCAAAAAGTCTCACCTCAGTTTCAACATTTTTTGAGTGAGCTAGGAAGACAAGCCTGCGTAATGTGTTCGGAATGGTCAAGTCAAAGGCGTAATTCAGGTGCAAGTGAAGTGCAGTTCAAGCTTCAGTGATCTTCATTGCAATGATTTTGAAAATGTTTTGTGTGTGTTTGCGATTCTGAGTTGTTGGTTCAATTGAAGCAGGCTTGCTTCAATCTAAGTGAATACTGTCAAGCACTGCTGGGGCTGCCACATTCAGTATTAGGCTATCTGTTTTTGTCTCGATGCCAGCATTGCATTTGGTAGTCATGCTTCGGAGGTTGCATAGAAGCATCATGAAGCATCAGTTCGAAGCAGACCGGCATTGTGGCGTTTCAACCGCAAGAATCCTTTTGCCTCGATGTATGAGTTGTGAGATGACAGCAGCAGACGCCATAATGTCACAACCTGAGGAAGGGAGGCTGTTGTTGCAACCTGTGGCCGATGTTACCCCGCATATCCCACGTGAGGAGCAGCGCAAACGAGATTCCGCTACTGCGGTCCTGCACAAGACCTTGAAGAAGCACATCCGACGGCACCATGATGGATTTGAAGAATTCAAAGACGAGGCCGCATCCGCAGCTCTGTCATCGTCTATGTATGGTTGGGATTCAGGATTTAGGGTATTAGGCATTAAGGTTCAGGGTGTTAGGATTTAGGATGTCAGGGTTTAGTTTAGGGTACTAGGTTTCAGGGTTCAGGGCTTAGGGTTGGATTGTTTTAGCTTCGTCGGATTCAGCTGAGTATCTCCGAAGGATCGCCGACCTGGGGCCCTTATCGTATCGTATAGGATAGAACAAAAGTCTAGTAAAGTATAGTAAAGTATGCTGTAGCATTGCATAGCTTAGCTTAGCATGTTTAGTATCGTATCGGATAGTATGGTATTTATGATATGGTATGGTACAGTATAGTACAGTATTGTATAGTATGGTATAGTTAGCGTAGCATAGTGTCTTATCTCAAGGTTGATGTTGATATACTGTGAGGGTTGGTGGGTGTGAGATTCAAGGAGTAAGGGTGAGCTATGTTGCCAAAGCCGTGTACAAGTTCTACACGAGGGCACCACAGGGCTTTGCTCAGTCATAGCTCAGCAGCAGGCCCTTTTTTCCCGAAAACCCCTCTGGGGTTGATTTCTCGTTTAGTGCTCCAACGCGAGGTCCGCGATATCGGCCCGGTCTTGACGGAAGAGCTTTAGAAAACTAAACGGTACACGGACGGGCTTTGATATCGGGTGCGCAGACGGTGCGCGGTGGAGGGCGGCGGGAGCGCGATATGCGGGGCGAGGGCGGGGACAAGGAGCGGGAGCGCGATATCGGGTGCGCGGACGGTGCACGCGATGGAGGGCGTGGACAAGGGGCGGGAGCGCGGACGGTGCGTGGTGGAGAGCGGGGACACGGGGCGGGAGCGCGATATCGGGTGTGCGGAAAGTTGACCAGTGGAGGGCGTGGACAAGGGGCGGGGGCGCGCGGTGGAGGGCGGGGACAAGGGGGGGGCAGCGCGATATCGGGTGCGCGGTGGAGGGCGCGGACAAGGGGACGTGCATAGGGGCGGGAGCGCGATATCGGGTGCGCGGACGGTGCACGGTGGAGGGCGGGGGCGCGATATCGGTGCACGGTGGAGGGCGGGGACAAGGGGCGGGAGCGCGATATCGGGTGCGCGGGGGAGAGCTTGCCATGCTGCGCTATATCGTGCCCGAATGAACTCCTGATGCGGTTGCCCACTCCGTCCTGACGATTGGGATTGCAACCGGGACATGTGGTAGAGACTTTGTGTGGTAAATATAGGTCGCTACATGTTACTACTTAGAACTTCGACCGGGAAATAGGCGCAGTCATGCTTGGCCAGTGTGCTGACGTATAGGTACATGCATTCAGTGGGAGCCTTGTCGTGCAAGCCGTTTACAGGATGTGCTGATCGATGTTGTCCGAATGCTCATGCTCTGCCAGTATTCTCTTCGCCTGGGTTTTCGGGTTCCCGGCTTGCGGCTTGACCTTGTTTCGGAGTTTCCTCACAGCTAGGGCAGTTCCTTCCCTGAGAGCCTGAAGGTGTTCTCCTTTGGTTGTCTATGCAATGTGAACCTCATTGCTTCGGGCATCCACAAAGACCACAACCTTGCTCTGCAAGGCATGTAGGCTATGTAACATTTGAGGATTCTGAAGAGAAAGCCTCCCCCACAGCCTTACGCCCCTAAACCCCACAACCGCTAGGTGCAGGCAATGGAAGAAAGCCAAGGCTGCAAGTCCATTGCGGCCTTTTTGGGGTTGAGGGTTTAGGGCTTAGGGCTCTGGTGGTTTTGTATGTGTATGTGAATAGAGGGACTGCAAGTAGGCAGATTTCCGGGGGGTCTTTCAGATAAGGCCAGGTGGTATTGAGGGCTCGATTTCTATGTGGTACGTGCGATGGGCTTGCAAAGCTTGGGCTGGGCGTTCACACAGCTTGTGCTGTGGCTTCAAGGAGCCTTGCGCGACATAATGCCTCATTTAGTGAATGAGTACTGGGCAAAGCTCGGCCGCGCTTCGGAATTTGCATGGCTCCTTCCGAAAAATCCTAATATGATTGCCTTACAGTCTCGGCAATATGCGAATATTATTATTAAACAGAAAAGGAGGCCCGGAGCACGGACTTAAGGCCCACTGCCAAGTAAGGACCCCGATTTTTTGCTCGGAAACGCTGACTGCAAGCTTCCGTGAGCAAGGAGCACATAGGCAGTTCTAGCGAGTGCTGTGGGTACAGGTAACTGTTGATGAGAGTGGCATGTTTCGAAGATTCCAACCCATGAAGGGGCAGGAGGCTTGAAAAAAACATATTGTGCGGGCTTCAGTACGAAACCAACCAATACAACTTTCGTCATAGTTCCACGTGGGGAGTTGGATTAAATTAGACCCTTTACAGAAGCTTCGGGGGGTGCTATTGCGGATGGCAGAAACAGCAGGAAACAAGAGCTTCGACGTCGACGCGGGTGAAGCGCTGCTTTCCAAATCCGGAGGACACGCGGTACATGAAATGTCCTCAACGGCTACAAGCAGCATTGGGCTGTTTCGATGTGTCGTTGTACCAGTTCTCGAGTGGATGCGCCGTTGCATCAGGTGTCCATGTAAAATTTGCGTAGGTTTCTGTCCGTTCAACATTCAGCAGTGCTTTCAGTCCTGAGGCCTCTGGTTTCAGTCGAGCCCATGCCTGCGAGCTGGGTTGTTTAAAGCGCCAACAGAGACACGTGCCATGTTCTAATATCAGGCTGTTTTAGGACATCTGTTCGGAGCGATGGACGAATCCGCTATTTGTTTTTCCTTGTATGTTTAATGTGATTATAACTTTGCTTGTCACTGCTAGTGCTAGCGCTGTATTTGTGTTAGTGTTGGTGTTAATGAAGACAAATCAACCAATATTAGCCAACTACAGTCTCATAGCAAAGGTGGCGAGCATGTTTTTTGGTATAAGAACAATCGTGAGTGAAAAGTTTCCCCGATTGTTGAACATGGACTATCTTCATAGAGCTTGAAGCACAAATTCACAAGAAGACTTGGATATGAGGAAGAGACACACAGCCTACATAACGGTTCAAAAAACAAACAAACAAACGAACAAACAAAGGCATTGTACTTACAGTTTTTGTTTCAGGTTGATGTAGAAAGAGCGTACTCCTCTACAACGGACAACAAAAAGTATTAGCTTTGACTTTGAGTAGTTTTGTAGTGGTGGGCTAATGGTCTAGTGGCATGCTTCTTCGTTCGGGATGGAGAGCATTTCACACTGATCTTAATGCCCGTTGGCTCTTGCAAAGTTACTTGTGGCAGTCGCCTAAAGGGTCCAGCAGGTATTAGGATAGTGCCAACGGGCACAAGGACGGGGCTACGGTCCCAGTACAAATCGGATCGACGGCTGAAAGTGAGGCCTGTGAATCTCTAATGACCCCAAAGTTGTATCGCATTGGGTCTCGTACTTGTGCTTTACGCAGTTTGACCAGTCAGCCCCCGCAAATCCTCGGAACAGTCTTCGTTGCTTAGAAGCCCAGAAGCAGGGGCCCCAGGGGCCCCCGTCCTGCTCTGACTCTATACAGGTGAGCTGTGGTTCTCCTTTCAGGCCTGGCCTCCGCCAAGGAACTCTTTTTTCACCCTCCCGTCAACTTGCGAGGTGCTCACACTTAGGTGGGCAACGGCTTTTTGTCCTCCTCCGGCGCCATGCGCAGTAAACCCCAGAGCCGAAACCCCGAACCCTGATCCCTAAACCAGGAGAAATTTCCCACCACAGCCCGGCCCAGCTTCAGCAGCGGCGGGTACAGCGGTCCAAGCAGCTTCGAAAGCAGGGCTTAGGATCTGTGGAGCTTTGGGCTCAGGGTTTCGGATAGGTTTTACTGTTTAGGATTTAGTGCAGCTCGTCGCCCCAATTGGGCAGAGTAGAATCACCGATTCTTCAATTCAGTTGTTCATCTTGATATTTAGTGAATTGAGGTTCTTATTTGCGGATTTCGTTATAGCATTGAAGCCATGCTTCTTACCATTCTCACAAGTGGTTTGTTTGGTAGAAATGATCCGGTACCTATATGCTCCTATGTGTTATGCCCCCCCTGCTTGTATCCATGTCGGAACAAATTCAGAAAGCCCCTAGATCTCAGAAGGTAGCCAGGATGCATGCGAGCTTCGGTTGTTTGGAATATTCAGACCTTTGCGGCAATCTCAGTCGCCAGTGCCAAGGCACAACGCGACCGAGACCGACTTGGATGCGGCTGTGTCGTCCAAGGCTGAAGATCTATAGTACAGTGTAGTATAGTAGAGTAGTATAGCAAAGTATACTATACTTTACTATATAGCACTACACTAGAATATGGTATATTGCATTATATTACCTTGTAAGATCGCATATTTCTACCGCAATATAACATGATAAAGCGATTAATACAACATAGTATAACTTAATGTAAATCAGTGTAGTGGCATATAGTATAATGTATTATGTTATAATGTTAGAAATAATACTAAAGAAAGCAATACAGCATAATGTAACATGATATGGTATGATATTACACGTACGATGCGACATAGTATGACAGAATACATTGAAATATGATACGACATTATGCAAAATAATAGCATAGTATTTGATGTGCTATAAGATAAAAAGATGATAGAGGATGCTATCATACAGTATAAACATGCTGTTACATTTCATGACAGTACATTTTCCAGAACTATAACATGTTATGGTGCGGTTTCATGCAATGTAATATATTGGAATGTAGCATGACATAGAACTGGTAGAATGTTATCTAAACTGGCACCATATCATAGAATGCAATATAGCACGACATAATATGCTATCATATCATATGATATGATAAAACGTAATGCAATTCCAAGCAATGTAGCAGACTATGATCTAATGTAGCACAGTATAGTACAATGTAATCATCATATGGTATAACATATTTTTTGATGTAATGCAATGTACTATATCACAATGTACTACAGTACACTATGACATAGTATAACAGAATACAGCGTAATACGATCTAATATGATATAGTTTTGCGTGATATAACATAACACTACCATGTACTATACTAAAGTATGATATTACATGCAGTGCCAAAATATGATATGTTACAATGTACTGCAATGCAATGTAGTATAATGTCATGTCATGTCAAAGAATGCAATCTAATGCAGTGTAATTTGATGTAACGTAATGCAACGAAATGTAACGTAATGTAGCGTCATGTGACGTAATGCATTGTAATGTAGCCCAATGCAATTTGGCAATGTAATGTAATATAGTAATGTAATATTGCAATGTAATGCACGACCAGATACTACATCATAGCATTATGTAGCGTAGTATAGGTATAGAGTAATAGAGTATAGTAGAGTAAGGCATTGTATATTGCAGTATAGTAGTATAGTAAAGTATTGCACAGCATAGGATAGGATAGCCTAGTAGAGTACAGTAGGTTCGAGTAGAGTAGAGGAATGTAGAGAACAGCAGAGTAGAGAAGAGTAGAGTAGAGAAGAGGATAGGATACAGTATAGCATAGCATAGGAGCAGAGTATAGCATAGTGTGGTACAGTATAGTAAATAAAGTCTGTATAGTACAGTTTAGTATGGTATGGTATAGTCTAGTATCGTTTAAGTTCAGTACAGCAGAGTACTTTTGGGACAGTATTATAGTATGGAAAAGTAGAGTAGAGTAGAGTACTCGCAGAGTAGAGTCGAGTGGAGTAGAGTATTGCACAGTATAGTATAGTATAGTATAGTAAAACATAGCATAGTTTACTTTCTTATAGTGCAGCTTAGTACAGTATAGTACAGTACGTTGCAGCAGGGCATGGTATAGGGCAGTATAGTATAGTATTGTAAAATATTTGATAGTATGGTATCACAAAGCATGACATAGTAGAGTAGATTATAGAACAGAAAAGCATAGTATAGTAGGGTAAAGTAAAGTATAGTATGGTGTAGTATAGTACAGTAGAGTATAGTACAGTATAGTACAGTTTAGTTTAGTTCAATACAGCATATAGTATATAGTCTATAGTCTTACAGTATTATAGTATTTAGTATATAGTATAGTACCCTATAGTATGGAACAGTATACTATAGCATAGAAAAACACAGCATAATATAGTACAGTACAGCCAGTATAGTATAGTTTCGTATAGTATAGTATAGTTTCGTATAGTAAAGTATTGTACCGTATAGCAAGCAGAATAGCACAGTTTAGTACAGTATAGTAGAATATAGTACAGTATAGTAAAATCAAGCATAACATAGCAAAGTTAACTTTATTATAGTATAGCATAGTACAGTATAGCACAACACAGTGCAGCACAGCATGGTATAGGACAGTACAATATAGTATTGTACAATATGTGATAGTATGATTTAGCATAGCATAGTAAAGTAGACTACAGTATAGTACAGTACAATAAGATATAGTAAGGTATAGTATGCTATCGTATAGTACTGCATAGTGTACAGTAAGTATGGTATAGTATAACGATTTTTAGCAGAGTAGAGTATAGTATCGTATAGTAGAGTATGGTACAGTATGGTATAGGATAGTTTAATTTAAACCAGTATAGCATATAGTATATAATATATCGTGTTATATTATCATAGTATACAGTATACAGCATAAAGTATATAGTATAGTCCCTTAGCGTATAGTACAGTATAGTTAGCATGGTATGGCATAGCATGGCATAGCACATAGTAGTACAGTACAGTATAGTAAAGTCGAGCAGAGTATAGCATAGCATAGCACAGTAGAGTGGTAGAGCAGAGTAAAGTAGAGTGTAGTATAGCATACTATACTACAACATGATATTATGTGTATCACAATATGGTTTTGATCCGACAAGATATGATTCGACATGCTATGATATGATATGGTAACATCTAGTGTAGCAATGAGTCAGAGTGGTGTTTGTAGGCGGCGCGATTGTAGAACTGGCTCACTTGATCCCTCTGCATGCACAACCACTTCTTTATAGCTTTCAGAGCCAGCTATGAACACCTGACACTCTAAAAAGGGTTGTTGCTACAGGATTTGCCGAGTTTGGGACAACCCAAACTGTGATTTTCTGACTATGTTTCTCTGGGCTTTCGGAGAAACTCCTCTCCAGGGCAACGGCTCGGGCTGAAGTTTAGGGATTAGGGTTTAGGGTTTGGGTTTCAGGGTTCAGGGTTTCGGGGTTCAGGATGTGATGAAGACTGCTGCGAGAACCATGGGACTGATTATGGATGCGAATAGTTTGTGGAAAGGATTACCCTTTCCCACGGAGGTTGCTTGCTTCTTCAACTTGGAGGTAGACTGCGAACAGGAAGTTGTGTTTCTGTCACTGGCGCAGGTCCCCAACCAAAATGAGAGCCAGCCTAATGTTCCCAGATATGTCGAAAAAACACTCTGAGACCACTTGCTGTCTGCTCCACAATGACGTCAAACGCACTTCAAGGACCAAGACGGGTGGTCCAAGAAACACCAGGATTTGAGGATCGCAACTATTAGCGTGACTGGGGGCTTTGTATGATGCCACGGTGACGATCCCACCAAGGCCCGGCACCTCAATCATCAGCATTCGAAGCCTCATGCGGACGTACTGTCATACTTTGTGCCTCAAGCCCTCACAAAAGTAGTACCTGTTGTGTTTTGAAGGTCAGGGCGCTTGTATACTACGAAATCGTACCAGACACGATCTTGAAATTCGGCTTCTCCCGACCTTTTTGGGAGTGCCGCGGAGGCGGTCGCTTTGTGCGGCCTGGGGAGGCTGTGGTATTTACAGGGTCAGGAACCATGCTCCAGAGACGCCACATTTCTGCAATTGTCCCGTGAAAAATGCAAGTTGCAGACGTCAGGTGTATACTTAGAACCTTGCCCACCAGTCTGGACGTGAGGAGTGGGGCAGTCATACTACCCTCCGTGGCAACGGCTGGGTTGCAGGGGGCTTGAATCTTTTTGCCAAACCTTTTGCTCTGAGGCCAGCACATGCACTGTTGAGGACCTGTCCTTTGAGAGGTCCTGAATCTGATTTCTATACATTCACTCTGAAGCTGAACCCTATGCACTGTGACAAACCCCATAAGCCCCAAGCCTCATGACTTGTCCTAAACCCAAAAGTCCCGAAATCCCATGAGCTTTAAAATCTCATGCCCTACCTTTGGCCACCTGTTGCTCTAGAAGTCTGAAGGTTGTGAAGACTATCACAAAAGCGGCGAAAACAGTTGGCAATGCGGCGGAAGACGTTGGCGGCGCGGCTGCTCGGATCTGCCTCAAGTGACGTTTTGGTTTGTGAGTTAAGGGTTTCGGGTTTTAACGTGTGTGTTTTTTGCAACAGGCTCTACTGTGTAAGCCAGCCTGTTGCAGCGTCTTTCCGAAAGTCGCCTTCGTGGCGTATGAAAAGTAAATATGTTTATCCTCTTGCGGAGACCAAGGCGCACGTGGACAAAGTGTGGAAGTGCAAAGCACAACGCGTAGACATGCGTAGAAAACTACAGAGTAGTCGTAGTAGTAGTAGTAGTACTAGTAGTAGTAGTAGTCGTCGTAGT